CTAGGAGGGGAGGCGGTGCCGGCGGGGGGAGCGGAGGCCGCTGTTAGACCCAGCGGCTGAAAATAAGCGCCACGGGGCCCCTCGGGCCAGGGGTGACTGGGTGCCGAGGGCTGCCCGGCGGGAAGGTGTTTCCATGCCCGGTGAGTGAGAGGCTACCGGCTGGGAGACACTTGGTTTCGCTGTGTGGAGTCGTTTTGTTTCTAGGCCGGGTGCAGCAGAAATGCACGCTGCGTTCAAGAGAAAAATATTGGCAGAGTGCTCAATAAATCCCGTTTGGCCCCTCGGGCCAGGGGTGACTGGGTGCCGAGGGCTGCCCGGCGGGAAGGTGTTTCCATGCCCGGTGAGTGAGAGGCTACCGGCTGGGAGACACTTGGTTTCGCTGTGTGGAGTCGTTTTGTTTCTAGGCCGGGTGCAGCAGAAATGCACGCTGCGTTCAAGAGAAAAATATTGGCAGAGTGCTCAATAAATCCCGTTTTTCCTCAGTGTGTATGAATGGCACCTGTGGCAAGGAGCCCAGCACTGAAAGGTGATGATGCACACTTGTCTTCCACAAGGGACACCTGCAGCCATTCTGATTGGGTGGTAATAAAAGCAAAAGAAAAAATTACACTTTGTTTCATTGTCAGTGGTAGAAGACCTTGACTTTTTCACAGTGGAAAGCAGATTGGTACCTTAAAGTTGCGACAGGATGCAGCTGTAACTGTGACTTTTTTTGTGCCATGCAACTGTTGACAAACAAATCCATGGTATCTGATCAGATGAAATGAAGTTTCAGAGTTTCGTGTTTGGGTGGTTTTCTTAATACCTCTCTGCTATTTTTTTCTTTGTTTCAGGGTAACCAACCAAAGAAGTTATGAATATCATCTGTGGTCTAAAGTTGCCCGGCAGGAACTGTGTTTTCTTTCATTTGGCTTCTTTGACCAAGCAGGAGAAGTGCAATAACCTCTATAGGTCTTACGCAGGATATTGCCGAACTCAAGTCAGTTGTACAAAAGATAGATGCCAAAGACTGGATTTGAGTGGAAATACTAGAAACTGTTTTTTGACTGGTAGCCCTGACTCCTGTAGAAACTTCATCGGTAAAAGACTGATGTGTCTTTTGAATGTCCCAAATACAGAAGTATACAAGATTGCACACTGCAGTTCGGGAAGGTTTTGCTTCCAGTCTTCTGGGCCTTTGCGGGAGAAGATCACATCCCTCCAGATCAGTTCTGTAGGGCAATTCGCACATCATTTTTCTGCTTGGAACATTCATATCATCAGATCTTTTCACACATCACTGTCAATTCAGGCTGCACCAGTTCCTCTTTTCTGGATTATTGTTAAGCCAGCTCAGAAATTATTTGCTATCGTTCTTGGCAGGTAAAATACTATTTTACTTCCTCTCTCAGTGTAAGAGCCTATTATGCAAAGATGTGTTCGTGAGTTTGTCGCGAATGGTAGGTGTATTTGTAGTGTTTTCAATTTGATATCTGCAAAATTTTGTAGGACTGGGGCCTAGACTGAGAGTTTGCTCAGCAAGAAGTTGTTTCCATTATCTGAGGTGTTAGATGTATCTTTTGCCCTTCTCGTTCTCATTTATATGTGGTAGAGGGAGATGAACAAAGACACTAAGGGGCATTCCTTCCTCTCCTGTGAGAGGGAAGAAATGGAGTGGAGTAGAAGCCAGTTGAAGTATAATCTTCCATAAGCTCTTTCATGAGGTGAGACTGTAATATAGAATACAGAAAAGGGCAGACACTAACAAATTCCTTTTTAACTATGTCCTAAGTTGACACTGTTTGTATCTTACAGGAGCATAAGAAATTGGTGGAAGGCACTTCCTCCTAATAAACGGGAACTTTTTAAAGAAAGTGCAAGGAAAAATAAATGGAAGATTCTCCTGGGTGTTAGTAGCTTAGGAGTTTTATTTGTCGTGTTTTATTTTACTCACTTGGAGGAGACACCCATCACTGGGCGCGCTCGACTGTTGGTGTTTGGAAAAGAGCATTTTAGGGAACTGTCACAGATGGAATACGATATGGTAAGATTTAAAAAAAAAAATCAAAATACTCTAAAATTGTTAATGCCTTTTTTAGTGATGAGGTAGTCCAGTTAATGGGATGGGCAAACATACCTAATGGTGTCCTAATAAGTTTTGAATTTCATGCTCAGAACCCTGCAGAGCACTCCCATCAGTTACCCCCTCCTCTTGTCCCTGTCCTTTTTAAGAGTTCCCTTTCCATCAGCAAGCCATTCAGGAACACATGATGGTTAAAGAATGCATTATATGTATGTAGCAAACATTTCTAACTGTGTTATTGTAATATAACAAGAAATATAGAAATCTGGTAGAAGCAGTAAAAACATAGTTAATAGGTACAAGCTCAGAACTGTCTCATTTTCTGTGCTGATTTGAGCGTTCTTTGGCACTTGTTTAAGGTCCTCTCTTCTAAGCTGTCACTTTGCAAGGTAATACTCTCCACCTGTATTCAGTTCTACTTCTTTTTTTTTTATTGGATCAGCTAATTTTTCTTTACTTGCTTTCTTTTAAGCTGTCCATTGCACTAATTTCTGTAACTTTTTGTTCTGTGACTTTCTGTTCTAAAGCCAGTGAAACGTGATAATTCATACACAAATGTCGCTGTATTCCTGGCTGACAGAGAATGAGAGATAAGAACAGAAGAAGTACAAGGATATATTCAAATTACATCTTTTATATAAATTTGTCCACCTTACAAATTACAACAGAAGTATATGGATACAGAAAAATTATAAATTCAAATGAAATTCAGGAAGGTATAGAAGGGTTTGCCAAATTGTGATGCCAAGCTTAACTGTATTATCTTATTTTTGATCTGTGGTCGGTTTGCTTCCTTTTAAGTTTATTAATCCTTGACTTGTGGGTCTGAAAGCCTGAACTCTAGTATTTTGCCTTCGGCTATATGAAAGAAAAATCTATTAAAACTTATATTTAACTAAGTTGTATGTAGCCACTAAATTAGTTTACCAATTAGTCATTTACTGTGTATTGTTCTGCATGGCAATCAATGAATTTTTTTTTCAGTGGGTGGAGGAATTCAAAAATAAAATGTTACCTGAGACAGATGCACGCTATCAGGTTGTGGAAAGAGTTGTTGGTCATTTATCTGAAAGCAATAAGGACATCCCACAGGTCTCGGCGCTCAAGTGGGTTATCCATGTGGTAGACGAACCAGATGTAAATGCTTTTGTGCTTCCAGTAAGTTGCATCCAATACAAAAATTATTAATAATATTGAAACTGCATTTTATTTATGTATCTTCTACTTAATTTTCACTCTCTTTGTTTACAGCACGGCCAAGTGTTTGTTTTCACTGGATTGCTAAATGCAGTTTCTGACATTCATCAGCTGTCTTTCATTTTGGGACATGAAATAGCTCATGCTGTGCTGGAACATGCAGTAAGTATTTAAAGCTGTCTAAAATTCTTAAATGAATTCTAATGACTTTAAGATTTTTCCTATTGCTGCCAACCAAAGTTTCAGTGTGCCTCTTCCTAATTAATGAAAAATTGAGTTTGAAGTAAGAGTATACAGTATATCCTTAGTACTCATGTAGTACTTAATAACTGTCAGAAGTCTTGTAGTAGTCAGTGTTAGCACAAAGTCTGCCAGTGTTTTTTTCATAACTGTATGGATGGATTATGGCTCACTATTAACAGTCATTTAGAACTTGGTCTGGAGATGCCTCTCCTCCTATAATGCAGACATAAGGAACGAGAGGCACTCAGCAACTTGGTTTGCTACTCCTAGACGTGGTAATATCCACAGAAGTGGATATACTTTAATAAATTATTCTAAAATACATTATATTTTTCTTATAGTAGTACACAGTTTTAGAATGCCAAACTCCAGAATGGCTGGAGCTTGATTCTACATTTACAGATGATTGCTTTCACAGACTTAATTTTTCCATATCCTGACATGGCTATGTTGAAATTGGTAGTTCTTTGCCATTTGAACAGAATGGATGTAATAATTTTGTTGTGCTTTGTAGGTACAACTATGAAAAAAGAGGATGGTACAGAAATATGGCTCATACTGTTCTAGATTGGCATGATTTGCTAGAAAGTGCTTCTTTGCTTCCAAAATGATTTCTTTCTGTGCATGTTGTTTTAAAAAATTGTATTCATTACCTATCCATCAGTTTGCGAAGACCTAATGAGAAGCTTATGAACATAAAGATCCTGCTAAAATTGCAAAGCTAATCTAGAAATGGGCAAATACGTTTTAAAGGCAGTGGAAATACAGGACAATTGCTTTCCTGCATCTTACATGATTGTGGATAAGCAACAGTTTACACCATGGTTTCTTGGGCTCAGTTGAGCCAACTAACTTGTTAAACTTCTAAAGAAAATATTTCTAATAATAAAAAGAACTTACCTTGTTTGTATGGAACCTGCGTCACCCAGCTGGCATAGATAAAAGTATTGCATGATCCGGCTTGTAAGTGCTCAGATCGATTTGTTGCATGTCAAGTAGAGCTCTGAAAAACAGAAGAATTTCAATTTCTTTCTTCAGGTTCTCTTAGTTTCTCAAATTCAAGGAATACAACAGAAAATAAAGAATAAATATATTATGCCTAGTGTCCCCTTGTCACATTAGTGCTCCTGTCTGATGTCTATCTCTTCTCAAATTAATGTAAAGAACAGTCTTCTAGGTCTTTTTATAGATTTTTTCATTCCAACTGAGGTGTCTCATGGCCTTTTTACTAAAGAACTCTGTCTGCATGCTGCCATCATCTCATCTCAAGCTTTGAATCTCTCAAATTGGGAGATAGCCAAAACGTATTTGTTCCAGCTGTATTTATGCAGTTGGTGTGGATTCTAGACTGAAAGTACCTTGTATCCAATTGGATTTTTTATTTTGTGCAAGCAGGCGAGCTTGTGCTTGCCCTGTTCCTGTGGCTGCGTAGAAAAAAATTAGTGATTTTTACAGCGTTTCAAAATTCTATTGTGTTCTAAAGAAACATCAGACAGTAAGGAATGAAAACGGAACAATTTCTGTTTGCAGGCAGAGAAAGCCAGCCTGGTTCACTTCTTGGATTTTCTATCACTCATTTTTCTCGCTATGATTTGGGCCATCTGTCCCCGTGATAGTTTGGCGGTTGTTGGCCAGTGGATTCAGAGCAAGTTGCAGGAGGTAAGGCTGATGTTTCATATTACTCTTCCTGAGTTCCGTGGAAAACCATTTTTAATCTTGGGGAGACAGTACCACTAAATAGTATGTTTGGGGGAAAAAAGGCAAGAGGAGAAATATTATAAGCAAAAATTAATATTTGAGTATGTTTTTGAATGAAATATGGTTTTATAAATCTGCATCTGCTTTAGTTGATATATATTTTCATTTGTCATCTTCAAGAACTTCAGCTAACTCCAATCATTTAGGGAGCTCTAAACAGGCTCTGAGTACCTGCTTGCCAATTAAGTTAGATGATTGTCTTCTTGAAATGTGGTTCACCCTTTAAAGTTGTATATGTTAAAATGCCATGTTTTTATTTTGAGTAGTTGTTAAATTGTTTCTAAGTCAAATAAAATATATGGAATTCTTTACATACATTGTTAGTGGTAAGAATGGTTTCCAAGATAAGAAAATTGAGCATCTAAACACTCTTTTAAAGTGTAAACCATGCTATAAAACTTACTGAAATAATCTTTTCAGGCAGCATATATTCCAATAAAGTAAAATTCAGAGGCTTTGTGGTGCTAGCTTTCTTCACCAGTCTAATTTACTCTCTGCCTCTGGACAGTTACTGATCCATTTATTTTTAAAAAAGTGTTGGGGTTTTTTTGGTTTTTTTTTGGTTTTTTTTTTTTTTTTTTAAGAAAATTTGCTTACATCATGAAACTTGCATCTGAAATTCAAGTGAAAGAGCTCTTTGGTTTCTTTGACTTCTCTTGATGCTTTTCCTGAGATTTCCCCCGGTTCCTCAAAAACATAAAATTAAACATAACCAATCTGTTTTGTTAGTTCGTATGCTAACGGGTAGATGTGTGGATTCTGAACATAAATTATCTCTAAAGAGCTTGGATATTTGTACAAGTAGCTACGAAACCAGTACATTGATGAACGCTAGCCAGCATTTTGAAGAGCTGAATTTGAAAAAAGCAAAGTGTGAATCAATCCTGAGACTGCTCATAATTTAGACAGCAAAGTTTAACTCCCTGTCAGCATCTTTTCTCCTCTTCTAGGCTAGCTGCAACTGATATTTTGGCATCGTGGATTGGAGTTTTGCTTTAGATTGCAAATGGAATCTGGGTTTAAGCTCGTAGTCCTAATGTGCTATAGGAAAGATCTATCATATATGAGATATTGTACAGTAATGCCCTGGTTTAAAACTCTGATCAAACTTGTCTTCAGTAACATTAAACATATCCCTATGTAATGCAGGATAAATAAGTGATTAATACTGGCAAAGATTTCATCCCATATAAAAAAGATTTTGAAGCGAAATTTTTGTTTCTGTTAGTCACCCAGGAATGCAAAGTCTGCTTGTTTCCTTCATTCAACATTTGCCTATTGTGCTTATGTGAAAATGAATCTTTCTGCACGTTTTCTCAGGATGTTTCTTTTCTTCTTCTTCCATAACTGTGTTTTACATTTTAAAGTTTTAGCATCCCACCCTATGAAAGGGTTATTTAAGCCACATTGCAGTACTTGCTTCTGTTTCAGTATTTGTTTTTCTTTTATATCCTCAGAGGCTTAACTTTTTTACCTCCTGACTATTGTTTATTTTTTATTATTGACTGTAAGTAGTTTCCAGTGACCCTTTGTAGGCCCTTTGGTATGTTAGCTCCAGTTCTGCTTTTTTCTCCAAAGGTGGTGGGTTTGCTTGCCTTAAGAAATTTAAGTTCCCTTACGGGATTCAGTGATGGTTGTTCTTCAGTCATGTGTTTCTGAACTGAAACATGTTAGCTTTGCTTTTACAGTGGCAGTTGTTTTATATGGGAACGAAAACCTAGGAATTATTCTTGGAATAGCACAAAGCATGACTCTGAGTTTTACTCATGTCCTGCACACTAGTATGTACAGACACAGTACTTTGTATTCCTTTTCTTGTCCGCCTCACACCATCAGATTTGTATTTCATGTGGAAACTGATGATTTTGGATAGTCAGCTTACCTGGAACTTCCTTTAACGTACGCAGAGAGCTTTGGTAATTCATTTGAAAAATAAAATCTGTCGTCTTTATTATGTCCAATTTCTGACAAGGGTTTTACAGTTTGAAGATCCAATTTTTCATTCTAGCACTTTGACAAAAGATTTTTTACATAAATGCATTTTTCAGTAGCAGATGAGTAGTATTGTATGTTAGGTGCCTCAAGACCCTTTTATGTGACCACTGCTGAGACTTTATTGGCTAGAAGTACACTGCGAAAGAGAGCCCAAGTTTTCTCAAGAGATTCAGATTATCTTATAGTTTTAATTTTAGATCTGAAGAAGAAACACATAGAATTCTCAAAAATTGCAGAGGACGCATTTAAGTCTCTTATATGTTAATGAAATTTTGGTAATGATCAGAACATAACAGATCTGGAACCCTACTTGGTCATAAGCTATATCTAGCATAAGAATTGCTATATGGAATCCCATCAGAGTTTATTTAGGCTCGTATCTTGTCTGACTGGCCAGTAGCAGGTACATACAGGAAAAGTAAAGGAAGTAACAGCAATTACAGGGTGATCGTTTCTTCAGATGCCATCCCTGCTTCTGCAGTCTGCAGCATAGGTGGGTCCTGAACTAGAGATTGCAGTACTGCTATGTTTATTTTTAAAAATACAGCCATATTTCTGCAGGCAGTGTTGGGCTAGACATACAGGTAAATAATCATAACCTAGTGCTTAACTGTAAATGCAAATAAAACTATTTAAGGGGTAAGAGTTTAAATGCTGATCTTTTTATTAGCATCTTCTTGCTGTCCCAGATCTCTCTTTCGAGATGGTCTGTTAAGACACATGCATTCAGACCATCAGTTTCCTAGTTCTTAAACTTCTGCAAATCTTTTTTGAGATGGATGCTACCCCTTCTTATTTAAAATTGTTGTAAACCTCCCAGAGAAGAAAACCACAAGTGGTTGTAACTGGAGAAATAGAAAACTGTCTGCTTGTGGAAGCCTCTGTTCCAGTTAGTGCTTTGGGTAGTCCTGTTACCAGTTTCATTTCCCTGCCTGAGAAATGTTTAATAATTAAACAAATAGTTTATCTGACTAACTGGGAAATGGTGCTTCAGGAATATATGACAGACTAGCCAGGGATATCTTTGCTGTTTAGTGAATATATACACTCAAGTAGACCCAAAGTACTTTTCAAAGCAATAGAAATGTATCTTCCACTTCAAGTAATGGCTTGATCATCAGAGAAATTTAAAAATATATTTATAATTGCAATGTTTAAGGTCTGTAAGGAAATGAAGAATTTAGAAAGTGACTTCATCTATACTTACTTATAAGCCAGCATATTTGCCTTTAAAAAACCTGTAGAGGATCAGCTTTTATTTTTGACCTAGTAAAGAAAAACTACCAATCAGTACTATTTTAGAAAGAAGCAAAAAGTTACAGATACCTTTATGTACTCAAGGGATTGGACCACTTCTTTGATGCTCTTCATTTCTATCTATTTTGTCTTTTTTTTCCTGGAACTTGTAAGGAGGACATATTTTTAAAACCAGATAAAGAGCTGATTAAACCTTTTTCTCTTCACTAACCTTGCACATCCCCATTCTTCAGTTGGTATTTCCTAATCGATGCCTAAACCAGAATGTTGTGATATGTTCCTTATCTATGCAAGAGCAGGCTGTTTTAACAAGTCCTGAATTGCATTTACTATAACTGGATATACTAGGGCAGGGCTGCCCAAATGTATGTGAATTACATATGCCAGGAGATCCTGGTATATATGACTAAATAACATTTGAGAAAACTACCACTGTCTCTTAGTGTGTGTTAATACAATGTCATATCCTAGAAAAATGGGAGAGAAGTTGGTCAGATTTATGTCTTCTAGTTTGATTTCTCAATGGCAATTTGCAACTTGTGTTGGAGGATAACCATGACAAAGGAGTGATTTCTGCATGAAAATGTTTATGGCTACATTCCATACTGTGGGCTGTTTACCATACACAATAAATCATACCAGGTTTAAAGACAGTCATCATAAAAGTTTAAGGGAACCACTGGAATTTTTTATGTACAGTTGCTACAACAAAAATCTTCATGCCAATAAAAGAGTGAATTAAAAAAATTCTAGTTTAAAGTTGGCATTGACCCTTTAGTTGCTGCAAAATGCTGTGAGACTGGCTGATGAGAGGGGCCATGAAAATATATATAGTTTGAATTAATTTCCACTGAATGCAGCATCAATGAATTACATGTAATGGAATTAAAGATTACATTAAGAAGGTTAGTACTGATCACATGCAATGTGAACATGATAGATAAACGCCATTTCTTATGAGAAGGTTAAAAAATAGCTATAATGCTCTAGCTTTGTACACCTTCAAAACAAAGAAATAGCGCTTTGATGTGCCTCTTTGCAGTTTATATTTGATAGACCGTACAGCAGAACATTGGAGGCTGAAGCTGATAAAGTGGGACTTCAGTTTGCAGCAAAGGTAACTACAACTGGTTTGTTTTATTAGCAGTTAGACATTGTTCAGTTTCGGCTATAATCAGAGGGAGTTTCACACTTCATACAGAGGTAAACTGTGTGTGGGAGGGTTCCCAAATTTTTAAAGATATGTAAATTAAAGAAGTAAAAGAAGTAATGGGAAATAAAGCAGTTTGTAGGATCATTCTGGCTAAATTGTATGTAATAAAATTGAAGTTTGTAAAATTGTGCATTATTAACTGCACGGTATACTTTCTATGTAGTTTATTACTATTAGAAGAAAAAGCTACATATTTATAAAGAGGATGCCAAATAGTGAACTTCCAAAAGTAGGATATATTTAATTGTATGTAAAGATATAAATTGCCCTTTAGATTTTTGTTTCACTTAGTTTCCATGTATTGTGAGAAGTTCTGAGGAATGTTTTACTGTATTGTAGTACACCTAAAATATTCTGATCTATAATATCTATTCTCATAACAATACAGTAAAATTTAAGAACTTTTTGATATTGTGATTATATTTTCTATGATTGCTGATAATTACCAAGTATATCAATATTGTTCTAGTATTTAAAGATTTAGTCTAAATACAGCCATAAAAAATATTGCAGCTTTGCTAAAGTAAGACAAAAATTTGGTCAGAAACTACTCAGCATTTTATTCATAATTTGTTTTTTCAGTCACTTTTTTTTGTCCTTGTGGATTTAAATTCTAAATTAAAGAAACTAAACCAACTTTTTCATTTCTAGCTAAGTGCAATAGAGCTAGGTAAGTGTTAGCTAACTATGGGAGCAGCACCATCTAGTGTTAATATTACATAAGGAAATTTTCCTTTGCTTAATAATTATTAATATTTCTTCAAGTAAGAGTTTTTAAAATTAACTTTGGTTCTGGGGTTGAAACTGCATTTGTAGTTTAAAGTCATCTAAGGGAATAATAAAATCCATGAAAAAAATGTAATTGCTGTGTGGGTACTCACTGCTTTGTAATACCCAAGATGTAGGACCAGAACGAAAGAAGCAAAGTGGTATCTGAGCATTTCTCTGCTTGTGCAGATAATCTTTTTATAATAATAATTTTAAGAAATAATTTCAAAGGATAAAGCACCACTTCTGTATTTCGGGGGGGGGGGGGACGGAAATTTTTTCACTTTCTGGGATTTTAAAGTATGAATCCCCTCTTGTGTTTTGCGGGGGGGGGGGGGAACGTAATTTTCTTACCTTCTGGGTACTTGTTTCTTTTTCTCTTAAACAAGTGAAAATTAATGTAAGAAATCTTGTTCTTTTTTCCCCCTCCACTTAAATGCAAGTATAAAGGAGTCTGTTGGTGATATACGAATGCCATTCTTGGTGTTCCGTGACTTTCTGTGGTTAAATATATACTTTTATGGAGAGAGATAGGAATTCTGCAGAATTACTATTTTAATCTGTTGTGGACTAGACAGATCACCCTTGAAAAAGGCAGTGTAATCACTTATAGAAAAGCCTTTGCAGTTCATTTTTAGAGATATTTAAGTAAGAATTATTATCCCTTGGTATTTTTTACTCTAAACTTCTTCCTGTAAATTTACCTAAATCTGGGGAGATGATTAATTTGTTCTTCTGCTGTACTGTATCTAGCAAATACAACTTAGAATAAGCAGCTGAGTTTTTTTAAAGAACAAGTACATGCCAGAAATTGTGAATCAGTTTTTTCTCCTGAATTGTCTGATTCAGGTGTAAGGTTTTTTTAAGATCAGTGGATTTACACAGATGTTAAATGGAACAAATCCAGTGTTTATCTGGATGAGTTTTTTACTGCTTTTAGATATTTTAGAACAGCCTTTTCCTGTCAGGTATGAGAGGATCATCTAAACAGGCTTTGGAGATGTAAAATTTAAGATGTCTTTTGTAATTCAATATCTATTAGAATGTGTATTGTGTTATTTTAAAAATACAGTGGTGTATACATTTCCTTTCTGTTTTCAGGCTTGTGTGGATGTACGAGCAAGCACTGTATTTTGGCAACAAATGGAATTAGCAGAAACCATTCAAGGGCAGCCCAAGTTACCAGAGTGGCTCTCCACACACCCTTCTCATGAAAATAGAGCTGAACACTTAGACCGGCTTATCCCAGAGGTGAGCAGAGTTGAACGAAGTGTGTCTTTTTCTCTTAGGAAGGTTGCCAGAATTAGTTTAGTATTGATTCACGAGCTACTTTGGTATTGATTCACAATCTACCCCTTTAGCATCGTGCTTATCTGTCTCTATCCTTACAGAAATTTTCTGTTACAAAGCTCTCAACCTTGAAGGTTTTATTAAATGAGGAAAAATTAAGATAGCACAGGTAAAATGTAATTATATTCTAGGGTGTGGTTTTTTTTTTTTCTTTTCTGATTTCTGATCGAAGTGTAGTATTTTTGCTTTTGAATGGCCTTCCTGGTATTGATGTGACAGTGTCACAGTTCTCATCCATTCTTTTCTCTTTTTTGCCATTTTGGAAGCCAGTTTTTAAGTTGGATCCCTAAACTGTCTTGACTTCTCTTGCTTTGGTAGCTAGCCCTAGGCTGTCAAATAGAGAATGCCTCATCCTATCCTGTCTCTCTCACTGATGTGAGATTGAATACACCTTGAATAATTGTGCCTCAGAAGAATGTCAGATCCTCAGTAGAAGATTTCTTAATAGCCCTAGTTATGATAGGTCTCTGTAGATTTTGCAGCCTGCTTTTTTCTTCACGTCTCTATTCTGTCACATTAGGGAGCAAATTTTACCCCACTCCAAGGAACTTGAGCAAGGAACTAGAGCAAGGAACTAATTCATGCAATTGCCCATCAATCTGCAGTCTTTTCTCTGTTCTTTCTTTCAGGTTTCCTCTCAGAGGAATGCCAAGTGGATAGCTACTTGGGGATTCTCTTAATTTGATGTGCTACTCACTGGTAGCTTAATAACAGAGAACTGTTCCAAGTTTAGTAATCTTAGTTTGTTTACTATTTCTTTAAATAGTGGGGGTTTCAACTACAAAAAAATAGCATGGATTGTTTTTTGCCTAGTTTTTTTCTTTTTAAAAGATAGTGTTAACGTGCTTCACAGTAGCACTGCTTTTCAGCAAGCTAAACTGTGTTTGGAAATTCCCTTTCTTATAACCAACTCTTAATTTCTTCTTCTTCCTCTTTTTTTCTTTTTTTAACCTCTCAGTCACTCCTAAGTCTTTCTGAGTTCCAAACTGTAAAGGCAGTTGCAGATTTATTAGCAGAAGGAGCACTAAAATGTTGATGTGTTTGCTGATTTCAAAGGAGAAAAAAAGATTTTCATGAATTCTTTGATGAGAATGAATGCAGTAAATATTCTAAATAATGGCATAAATCAAAATCAACATAGAGGTAGGAGGTTGGAGGCTGACTAGACTGAATATTTTAAATTACTATACACAAATTCTGTACTTTGCAAAAACAGGTTGTGAGACTATTTTGATGGATTTTCTAACACATTAGAGCAGCTGAATGGAAAATTATACTCGTTGGGGAGCCTCAATTTTAGTTAGATTGAACACAAAGGATTCAGGATCCTTTATTTTCTTACAGTTACTGGTTGGCTTATGAAGTGCTAATGAAATTAATTACTTCTTATGTTCTATCTAGCCCAGGACTGAGCAAGTTAGTTATTTAACTGAGCAACTGTGTAGAACTGGCAGTCATGTTATTTCTGTCTTGTCTCTTGCAGTTCAG